ACTGCATTGATGCCACTTCTGAACAGCTCCTTTAGGATCTCTGGCGCGCCCCAGCTGGTAATGACGGGTTAGTCACACCAACAATTGTGTCCAGTGCACAAGAGACATCAATTACTTGTTCCTCTATCTCTAGGCCAACGTGGATCTGATTCCCTGTTTGTCGGCTGGCTGCAATCTGCGCGGTGCCATGTTCTGGGAGCACTCCGAGGCTGGGTGCGGTGGGGTGTGCTCGGAGCTGGGGAGCGTGCCAGGGACCCCCCCCACCCCGCCCCGCAAGGGCAGAGGCGGGGCCTGCATGGTGCACTGACCCGGTTCAGGAATGGGGATGCAAGGTCAGGCTTTGGGAAGAGGAACATTGGCTGAGAGTTCTGGGCGGAGAGGGGCCTCACTTAAAGGCAGCTGGGAAAGGCGCCCCCTGCTGGGCCCCCGTAGCAGTCTTCTCTGTCCTGGAGAAGCAGACAACACTTGAGGGGGTGAGGGGAGGAGCACTTAGTAAGCCCCCACTCCTGTATGCACTCTCTCTCTCAAAAAAAAAGTGAGGGGGGGGGAATGAAAACTCCTATAGTAAAATGGGCAAAGACCTGAGGAGCCACAATTATTAAAACGTCCAGGTAACACTCTTACTGAGAGAAGAGCAGAGAGAAACCATGTTGGGCCCCGCCTCTGTCCTGCTCCACTGGCAAACGTCCAGAAGCCTGCTGACCCCACTGCGGGCAGGGACGCAAATGGGGGCAAGCCCTGCACAGACACCCAGGTGACCCCTCGGGACTACGGGACACATGCCCCTCCTGCAGCGAGCCCCACCCCCCCCCCGCACGTTGATTTGTCAGCCCGGGTTATTGGTGCGGATACTTTGGTCATTTACTTCCCCTACTTGACCCCAGGCAGAGTCCGCAGTGGCTGGCCCCTGGCAGGTAGTTGACAAGGGACCAGATAACGGAGGAGGGCGTACTTCTTCTCTAACTCGGGGCTTTCTGGTGTCGTACTGCTCCCAGCTCACCTCTGCTGGGCCTGGGACTGGCCTCCCTCACCTGTCCATCCCAAGCTGCCCCGGCCTCTGCTGCAGCGGCTCTGGCACCCAGCCCAGGGGGGCCCACCCCTGCCCAAAGCTAAGCCACACACCTCAAACACCCAGGGGGCCCAATCTGTGGGGTGAACTCTGACCTGGAAAAGATCAGAGATGCCCCCGCTTGACCCACCTGGCCAGCTAGGTCACACCCTGCCCCGTGTCTTGTCCCCCTCCCCCTGCCTTGTCCCTTTCCCTGTGCCCGCCTGCCCCTGGGAGGGCTCCCCTGCCCTGTACCAGTGTAGGGCACCCCTGCCCTGTACCAGTGCAGCGCAAGGGTGGGGCCCAGGCTCTCTCCCAGGAGCAGCCTGACAAACCCTGGTGAGTGGGCTCCAGGGCGGGGCCTGCACTCCAGGCCGGCCTTCCCGCCCACCCCGGGGGACGCCTGCGCCAGGAGTGAGGGTCAAAGCCGTGCGTGTCCTCTGCTGGACACTTCACGCAGGGTCAGACAGGGAAAGGGGACCGTGTCAGGACTTGCTGGACCTCACGCCCACCCTCATCCCTGGAGGCAGTGGGTTGAATAATGTCCCCCAGGATATCCCTGGGCCGGGGCCCGGAACCCGTGGCTGTGACCTTACACGGCAAAGGGACTCATCAGATGTGATTAAGCTCAGGGTCTTGAGCTGGAGAGGTGATCCCAGGCCCTCTGGGGGCCCCAATGTGATCCCAGGGTCCTTAGAAGAGGGGGCAGGGGCCAGGGTGGGACTGAAGAGGCCACACCAGGGGTGTGAAGAGGTGGGAGGGGCCTGGGAGCACAGAACCCTCTAGAAGCTGGAAAAGGTGGGGCAGATTCTCCCTGGAGCCTTCTGGAGGAACCGGCCCCGCCCACCTATTTGCACACGTCCCATGTCCAGAGTTGCTCTGAGCCACTGCATTTGTGGATGTGTTACAGCCACAAAGGTCAGTCCACAGGAAGAGACTTGCAGGCCAGATAACGGGGAGGGGGGGGCGGGGTGTGTGTGTGTCAGGGAGGGGCCAACAGTGGGGCCGAGTTCAAGGTGTTTTCACCCTTCTGCCTTATGGGCCGGCGCTGGGGAGTCACTCCCAAAGGTGTGGGTGAGTCATGGAGGGAGCACAGTACCTGCCCAGCCTGTAGGACGGGCTGTCACCACCCACGTGCGAAGGGACTGAAACCAGGCACCAGAAGCAGGAGCAGTGACAGTCATCAGTCAGCGATGAGGCTGGTCCCCAGACTAGTGGCGGTGGGGGCGGGGCGCTGGGAAAGGGAGCCCGCCTTCCTGGGTTCCCTGCCCTGGGGAGGAGCTTAGAGGCCAGCCCCCAGGGCGCAGAACACAGTGGGTGGGACGGGCCTGGGCCCTGTGGGTGGCTGGGGCAAGCTCTTTCCCTTAGACAGGTTTTCGGCCTCAGCTCCCATGCTTTCCAGTGGTCAGCACCTCCAGGCTGGCCGGCTGGTGGCAGGGGGCTTCGGGTACCAGGAGATAATTACTGGGGGATCCCTGCGGGGGGAAAAACCATTGCACTTCAACACCACGGCCAGAAAAAGATTTATTTATGGAATCATAAGTCAGTAGGACCAGCATACAGACACGGCCGCTACAGAGCTGGCAGGGACTTTACAACACGTGCACGGGGCAGGGGGGCTGGAGACCCCGGCCCTCCCTCACAGCCAGGCCCCAGGGGCAACGTGCTTCGTTCTGAGGGGGTCACACAGCCTCCACAGTCTGAGTTAAATTTCCGGGAAGGCCCAGGCCAGCACCAGCTGGGCTCTGAGTCAGCACCTCAACCCTCCTGTCGGTCCAGTCTTGCAATCATTGGCCGGAATCCCACCTAAAATCCTACATGGGAAAGTATGCCGCTGTAAAGTCAGAAGCATCCAAAACACCATCCACGCACTCTTCACTTCGGAGGCTACATGTACATCAGGAATTCACGCCCCGTCCCCAGGAGGAACATCTATGCCACCCGTAGGGACCCCAGGCCCACACGTTTGCGGGTACACGAAGGCACCTTCTGCTCCTGTCCCCGCTGCCGCCCAGCCAGATTCTCCCTTTCTGTTCCCCTCCCCCCCGGCACTCACCCCCTTGTGCCCGGAGCTGAGTCCTGCACCAGAAACTAAGTACAGTGGATGGAAGCCAGAGGCCCTGTCCCACAGCTCAGAACAGCGTGGGGGTGGGGTGCGCCCCCGCTCCCTCCCCAGACTGCCGGCTACCACAGAGCAGAGAGTGGAGGGCCCTCCTCATGTCGCCCTATTCTGCTGCACCGAAGGGCTAGGGCCCTTGCCATCCAGCTCCCCAGGCGACCTGCAGGGGCCCAGGACAGTGAGTCTCTTCCCACCAGAACCGGCTTCCAGATGCAGAAGGTGGAAACTTGCCCCAGCGTGGGGTGGGGACTGCCCCACCCAGGGCTCGCCTGCAGTGGGGGATCAGCGGGAGTCCCCTGCTCTGAGCACAGGGCTGGGACAGCGGGAAAGCTTTCACAACACCTGTTTACTCCGCCAGGATCTAAAAAGAAAATTCTAGGAAGAGCTTTCCATTGGTACAAAGTTTGGAAATGGCCTCGAAGTCAGAACTGAAGTGAACTCATTAAGCTCTGTCTTAAGCAAAGGAACACGTGGTGGGTGGGGTCACGAGCACAACCTCTTAAGACAGGCAGGATGCGTCTGTAAGACCCGCGCTGTGATCAGCACCTTCGGGAGTAAAGCAGGAGACACACGCACTAGGAGCCCGAGATTGTGGAACTTGGCCCTGGGGCAGCGCAGACGCGCCCAGGGCACAGAGCCCGAGGCCCAGCGCCGTCACTAGCACGGAGCCCTGTGCACTACAGAAGCACCCCAGAGCAGGGCGGGGATGTGTGCAAGCTCCAGGGTGGGGCCCCGACGCCCGCCCTCTGCCGGCAGAGGGTGGAAGTGGGTGGCTGGATTCTGCAACCTTGGTGGGAGCTCTATAAACAAGGTTCTTGACACTTTTCACCCCCAAAGGCCCTCTGACCACCTGACTGCCCGTGCCACAAAGCGACGGCAGCACACACACACAGGTGCGGGCCTTGGTCACTGTGCTTCAAGCACCCTCAGGGCAGAAATGAAGCGGGAGGTCTCCTGGGCTCCCAGAGCTGCCCTCCCAGGAAGAGGGGTCCTTATGAGTGCCCACCTGCACTGGTTGGTGTGGGATGAACACAGGTAGCTTGGCGGCCACGCCCCTCTGGGGGGCAGAGTGGAGTCTGGGGGCCACGTGGCGCCCACTGAGACTCAGACAGCCAGGACCACACTCTCAGCACCCTGGCCTGCACACTGGCCCCTCTGCCCACTCAAACTTCCTTCCCCGCCTCCTGGCCCAGGCAGGTGCTGGCGTGGGGGTCTACTGAAACCCTGTCCCATGGGGACACGCGCGTGAAGGAGACCCCAGCAACCTGCGGGGGGCAGAGAAGGAAGACAGAGAGCCTGGCTATTCTGGTGGCAGAACCCAGAGTGCTCACAGGGGCCTCTGAATCAGGCAGACAGACCGATGCCCTGAGCAGGTGGCCCCATCGAAGGGTAAGGGGAGGGTGTGCTCATGGTGCAAGTCCAACAGCTAGAACGCTGTTACCTCCTTTACTGTACATTTCAACTAGCAGTGAACGTGAGGTCCAGCAAGGAGGAAATGGCAGTCAGGAGTGGCCTGGGGACAGCTAGCATACCCGGCCCCGCCCACCTGCTCCCCAGAGGCGAGGACTCAGCCTGCGAGGGCTCCCATCCCACACACAGCGTTACCTTCCTGGATGATGAAGGTGGGGAGGAGGCGGATTCTGCATCTACAAGGCTGGGCAGGGCGCTCCAGCCCCCGTTCTGGACACGAAAAGCACCCCAGACCAGGCTCAGGCCGTTGTAAAGTCAGATGACATTTTAAAAATTGGTTCCAACAAAGGTTAAGAACAGGACGACGAAGCCCCATTTTTACCGTCGCTGACGTAGATTAAAAAATAACGCAGGTCACCACGATTACCTCTGCAAGACTTGGCGAGGATGCGAAAATGGCTTTAAAAAAAGAGTAGTTTGTAATTCATTCTTAAGGTCTACAGAAGCTTTGAAAAACTGTATTGAAATCTGTACTCTGGTGATAAGCAGGCGACTTAGGACCGATACATTTCTCATTTTAAAATATATAATTATTACTTTGCGTGTGACTAAACTATGGAAAGTAAAGACAAAGATTTATTCTAATTTGGACCCAACCTGTGTAAAAAAAAAAAATAAAAAACCAAAAAACACTGCTAGTGACCACGACTGACCTCTGGATGGGAAATTCTAAGCACAGACAAGCCAGGGCCTGCGTGTCCACGATGGGGGACCGAGCCCTACACGGCGCTGGGCTCAGCAGCAGCACGTGGCCCGCGCAGCTTTGCCGGGGGAAGCTGGCGAGGTTTCTACAGGAGCCCCGCACCCTGTAGGGGCTCTCGGGACGCAGAGGTCCCACTGCTGGGGGCAGAGGGCTCAAGTCCCCCCCTACCCCCCAGCGGTCGGGGCTTCACAGTCAGAGGAGACACATGAGAACATCCAGGATCCAGCCAGAAAGTTCACGGTTTGACAGGAAGTTCACAGTGGAATAACTATCGTCCTATGTACAGTATGGGGGGGGGGGGGATAAAAGCATCATGTGTAAGACAAAGGCTGAGCCCCTGAAAGAAAACTCAGAGAGCAGAGGAGCAGCGTTCGCAGTGTTTCCAAGGCCATGGTGCGCACAGCCGGCCCCTCCGCCCTGCACCGTACCCTCACGTGAGCCCCCCATCTCATCGCAGAGAGATCGCTTAGGCTCCTTCCCTGCCGAGTGCTTGCTCTCCGTGTTTACAAAGAAGTGTGGCCATCTCCCCAGCTCTGTTTGGCAGTGACGGGTGCAGCCCTGGTCCCCACGCTCACCCTGCTGGGGAGGCAGCCGGCTACGGGCTCCCCTTCCTCCTGGGTCAGGGAGGGCCGGGCCGGGCTCTGCGCAGTGGAGGCTAGTTCTCAGAACCAGGAAATGCGACAGGGGATGACAGACCCCCAGCCCGCGGCCGCTGTGGGGAGCCGCGAACCACCGAGCCCGTGCATGGGCAGCCGGGCACTAGCGCTCGAGACTGGACACTCAGGACGTGGACAGACAGACAGCACGGACGTTGGTATTTCTTTGTTTCGAGGAGTCTGCAATGGACTGACCACCACCCTACCTAGGAGGTGGCAGTGGGTCTGGGGACACTGTTCCGGCCACAGAGGAGTGCGGGTTGCAGGAGAGGACCCGCCAGTGGGACGGGGTTGGGGGGTCCCTGTGGGGCGTCTGCTCGTTTCCCCCTACGCTGCAGACTCTGTCTCCCTCCGGGCAATGGGCTCCTGGGAGATGAGAACTTCTGTTCTCCCCAGGGCAGGAGGGGAGTTGGGCACCCCTACTTGCAGCCACACCTGGGGGTCCTCAAAATTAAGGGGGGCCACAGAGGTCGCCCTGGCAGCACATGACCCGCCTGGTGTCTAGCCTGTGCTGCGGCCCTCGCCCAGGGCATCTGAGAGCCACTGGCCAGGCCCTCTGCCTCTGCCCCTCCCCCGATGTGCCAACACTCTCTCCTCGGAGGAGGGGCAGGAGCTGCAGCCGTCTTTCTGGGGGCCTCGTGCACACGGGCTTCGGGCGGGCGTGGAGGGCAGGACCGAGTGGGGAGGGGTGAGCGCACAGGGTAACTGGTCCCCACGTGGGGTTAAATATGCCAATGGTGCCCACTGCCCTCTACCTGCCTCTGCACGACCACGTGGCACAAGATCTGCCCCCAGCCACGGGTGGCAAACACAGACTTAACCCCCTGTGCCCTGGACCAGGTGAAGGTTCCGGAAGGAACACAACGGGCTGAGCTGTTCCAGCCTCACAAGCCCTTGCTCATCCCTAGGGCATGTCTGGGCCGGCTGGCATCGCCCTGTTCCTGCAGTGATGCAATCCCGGCGACCCCCCCACGGCCAGGTGACAAGACACAAGACGTCTCAAGCACGAACAGAAGAGCGGGTCGCAGGACAACAGAGACATTTGGCAAAATTCTCCCAGACGCAGATGGCTAAGACCCGACCCTTTCTCAGGGGCGCACACACCCCAGGGCTCCCCGGCTCTCGCCCGCTCGGATGGGACACGCCCGTGGACCGGGGGCCCACGGAGCTGGCGCCCTGGGGGACGGGGAGCCGGGTTCCCGGAATTACAGATTTCTGTGATTGCTTTGTGATTTTTAAAAAGCACGACCAGCACATTTTCACAATTAAGACCGGTAGATGCTGGACACTCACGAAGGAAAAAAATACCAAGTTTCAGTCACGGCTCTAAGGCAGACGCTACGTTTTCACAGGGACGACAGACGCACCGACACGCTGTGCGTTAGGGGGTGGCACGCGGGCCCTCACAGCACCGCGGCCCGGACCACGATCTCCGGGTTCTCGATGTCCTTCTTGCTCTGGACCATCCGCAGCTCCAGCTGCGCCGGGCTGGGCTTCAGTCCTCCCCCTGCCTGGGCTACAAGACAGAGAGTCGGGGACAGGGACAGGGACAGAGCAGAAACCACCCGTTTCCTGCCCCCTTCCCTCGCGTGAGTCCTCTGTGCCAGGGCCTCACGGGGGGCACGAGCTCGCAGGCTAGCAGAGGCGGAGGGAGCCTCGGGACCCCGCTGTCGGCCCTGGTGCCTGGCAGGTGCGGCCCCCTCCCCCTCCCCTCGAGGGCCCTGCTCGGAGGTACCTTTGGCACACGTGATGGTCCGCTGCAGAACATGGTGCATGGCCGACAAGGTCTTCTCACAGGCCACCTGCAGGGCGGGAGACACACACACGTGGTCCGTGTGGCCACGGCCTGGACGGGATTCTCCCCGCACCCAAACCCCGTCTCTACCCCGAGTCACCAGGGCGCTGGCTTCACCATCACACGCTCCCCAACAACCAAGCCCAGAGAGCTGGACAGATGCCTGGGTACTAGGATTAGCCGTGTGCTCTGGGGGAGGGCTGGGCTCTAGGACACGTCAGTACTGTCTGCCATGCAGTAGGTGCTTAATAAGTGTTTCTACGATGAACTAGACTCTTCATCGAAAACCGTTCCTATCCCAGAATTGGCCAAAGTCGTTGCTTACCGGCACCTCAAAGTCAAGGACTCGGGGCTTAGCAGGAGCTGGGGAAGTGAGTGCTGAACCTGGGTTTGGCCTCAGGCGGCCCAGCAGCAAGGTGTCCACTGTGCACCAGATGGCCAAGGTGCCCTGTACCTGGCAAGGCTCCCATGGCCACCAACTGCAGAAGCAGCTCTGGGCTCCCCCTGGTCCCTGGGTGTGTGTGGGGACAGGCAAGGACACACAGGTCTGAGACCCCCCTGGTCCCTGGGTGGAGGAGGGACGGGCATGGACACACAGCCCAGCGCTTGCCCCTGGGCCTTGTAGGCAAGAGGAACAGGGCTCTGGTGCAGCCCTGCATCTCCGACGCGCTCACTGAGGGGACGGGGACTGTGCCCAACCCCAGGGCCCTGGCACATCCACTTCCAGATGCCGACCTGGAGCTCCTTCTGAGCGGACCCAGTGCAGACGGGGGCGTGGCCCCTCGCTAACCGCCCTGCACGGCTGCCCTTCCCACGCACGTTCTAGAGACAGCAGCCAAGCCTTGACCGCCACCAAGTACGTGTCACTCCTGAGCTTAACCACAGGCCATGCGGGGCCACCGCACACCCCCGTTCACAGAATCGGTAGCAAGGGATCCGCTCATCCAGCAGAGGCCGCACAGAATGGCTTTATCTCTGCATGAACGCGTTTAGTAGACGTGTGCACACAAAGCAGGGGTCGGGGAGGGATGGACGGACACGCGGATGGACACACAGACTGCCTCACGAGCTGAGCTTCTCTGCCAGTCTCACTTCACAGCCCTGCCCCTCATCCCTCCAAGGGGCCCCCGCCTCTGAGTCTCTCGACTCACCGGGGCGATGACATCTTAGCACAAATTTCACTGTGCTGCTCTCGCGGGAGACGCTCCTCATTCCGGACCCGCTGAGGCTGCGGTGAGGCCCCCGGGCCCCCGCCCTCCTGTGGCTCAGGGCTGCCCGGGCCCAGCAGGCGACTCCAGCGTGTGGTGCACGAGTGGCCTGTTTGAGCCCCTGAGGAACCCAGATCGACCCCGACTGCAGCAGGGAGGGGGCGTGTCCTGCTCACCTTGAGATTGTTGGGGTGCTTGTGTGTCCAAGCCAGGAGCATGGCGGCGAAGAGGTCGCCGGTGCCCACGAAGACTGCGTCCACCTTGTGTGTCTCCATGCGGATGCGCTCCGTCACCACGGAGCCGTCGGGCTTCCCTGCAGGAGAGCACTGCTGACGGGCTCCGGGGCCCCGGGCCAGGAGACGCCAGCCCCTCAGGCTGGGAACTGGCCCGCTCTCCTCCCCGCCCCTCCCCTGCACGGCGGCAGGGAGGGGCTCGGTGGCCAGAACCGATGGCGGCCCCGTCACCAGGGAGGGGGTAGGTACCAGAGCCCCCGGCCGGGCGTGAGGGACCAGCGCGCGTGACGGTGCAGAGGGCGCCCCGGCCTGGGGCAGTAACAAGGGCACCTACAGCCGCGGGGACCGTGAGGTTACTGCAAAGGGGACACGTGCATGGGTGTGCACATGGACACGGATGCATGGGCACACACAGGGGTACATGGGTGTATGCATGGCTGTGCCCAGAGCATGCATGGGTAAACGGGCGTGCATGCACAAGGGCACATGGGTGTGTGTACGAGGGCATACGTGGTCTGCACAGGGACATGCACAGGAGTGATGGGTGTGCACGGGGATGTGCATGGGTGTGTGCACCGGGGCACGCTCTCCTGAAGACAGAGGGAGTGGTAAGAGAGCTCCATGCTCTCTGGGGCAGTGGCTGTGACCCGGCCTCCTGTGTCATTTCATTCCCCCAGAGAACACACCAACCCAGGTGTGTTTACACGAGTCTACAGCTGACAGGTAGGCCCCACAGGGACGCCCAGCTCTGTGGGAGGAGAGGGTGTGGACGCCTGGCTCTGAGCCCAGGGCTCTAGGCGGGCCGTCCACGTGACCCGAGCCCGGAAGACAGACGCTCTCCGGGAACCGCTGGTGCGCCGTGGGCACGGCGGGCTGGCTGCTCGGTGACCGTGGGGAGGGCCCCGCACCGACGCACAGAAACCTCTCTCAGGTTTGTTCTCAGGGTGTTTAGGGCGTGACAGGAGTTCAGGACACCGAGCACCTGCTGCTGTGCGAGGCCTGATATCCCCCGCACTGAAGCCAAAGCCAGGGAGGCCTCAGGGCACCCGCGGCGGAAGGTGGGCGGGGGGGGGGGGGGGGGCAGGCGCAGGACTTACGGATCCTCTGGCTCCCCAGCGCGATCAGGTAGTCGCTGCCCCTCGGGGAGGGCAGGTCGGAGCTGGTGATGACCACCGTGTCGGGGCCCATGGCGTGCAGCACGTCCATCACCTGCCGGAGCACAGGACTGTGTCGGCCGCGGCCCGGCCACCTGCGCCCAAGCCTTCAGGCCCGGCCGGCACGACGCCCGCCTGCTCACACATCCGCCGGACCCCACTCTCGTCCTGGACCCACGTTCCAGAGGAAGATGCCAACCAGGCCCCAGACTGCCTTCCTGTCTCAGCTGGCCCCGGGGCAGTCAACCCACGCCCACCATCAGACTGCCAGGTCGCGGGGAAGCCGCTTGCTCGCTCCTTCACTCAGCGAAGCTCTCCTGCAGTGTGTCCAGACAGGCCGGCGGCCGGAGGCTCCCTGTCCTCCCACAATACATGCGTGGGGCTAAAACACCCACCGGGCAGAGCTGGGGCTCAGGAGAGCGCCAGCTACACCAGAGAGGGGTGCCCGAACCCGGAATGCAGGGGGCTGGCCTCTGTGGGGATTCCCACCCACGTGGCTCACTGTGGGGAGCCCTGAGTGTCTGGTCCTGGGCAGGGGGGTCCCTGAGTTGGGCTCCCCGGCCCAGAGAAGCCTCCCCTGTGCCGCAGCATGTGGCTACACCCCGGCCCCTGTCAGCCTAGGGCCTGTGGCTGCAGTGCAGACAGGCCACAGGGTCATGTGACAAGGGACAAGCTCTCTGTAAGTGGCTTTTCCTTCCCTCCTCGCACAGGGGCCTCAGAGCCGGGCGTGTGACCGTGCAGGCAGGCGCCCTCCACTCCACAGTCCGGTGCAGGCCATGGGAGATGTGTCCCTGCCCCACACGTGGGGCGTGCCTCCCACCTGGCCCCCACCCTGCTCAGGGCACCACCCAGGCACACACCAGGAATCTCCCACAGTCCTCGGGGCACACGGGCGCACAGCAGAGGAGGGTCACCTGTGACCCCGGCCCCACTGCTCTCCTGCCCAGCGCCACCTGACTCTGAGTCCCCAGATGCTGTGCCAGCTCGGAGCCAGACCCTGAGAGCAGAGAGGGGGGCACCCTCATCCCTCTGCACACTGGGGAAAGAGGCCCGCAGCCCTCGGGCCCAGGTGTGGCCGGAACCAGACCTGGCGCTCGGATTTGTTTCCTGGATGATGACAAGAGCGCACGTGTCTGATGAGGCCCTGCCACGGACGGGGTGCGGACACTGCTGGGGCACGTGGCCCAGGATTCCCTCTGTGGCCAAATGACAGGCGGGTGACTAGTCCCACAGGGAAGTTGAAGAGCTTTGAAGAGGAACCCTCGCCTGTCTCACTTCCTGCCACCCCGTCGGCGAGGCCCACGGCTTCCAGATGCGCCCAGCCAGCCCCCCAAGGTGCGAGCTGACTCCTGGCCCATAAACCTCTTCGTGTATGCACGCACACAGACACGTGCACACGTGTGCCCAGACACGCACACCACCCCACAAACGTGCACACACCCCCCCCCCACTGGTGTTGGGCAGAACCCAACTGGTGGTTTCTGGTCCCTGCTTCTCTGACTGTGGGCCGGGGCGGTGGTGCGCACCTCTGGAAGGCTGCCCCTGGCGCCCGCGGGGGCCAGCCTCTCCAGCACACACACAGGTCATGGGTGTGTGTGAGTGCTGCACTCGGCAAGCTGGACTCATGGTATCTGGCACACAGCAAGCACTCACTAAATGCTGCCACCGCTGTGGGCTGAACTGTGCGCCCAGAGACAGATGCTGGAACCCTAAGCCCAGAACCTCAGAGTGTTTCCTGTTTCCTCGTGAGAAAACACGGTCTGCACAGATTCAAGCGAGTTAGGATGAGGTTGCTGCGTGGACCCGGGTCCTAGCCTGGCGTCCTCAGAGAGAAGGTGAGGACGCGGGACACACCGTGTGCCACGGAGGCCCCCTGCAAACAGCAGAGGCTGGCGACGGCTCTACAAACCCAGGGGCGCCAGCAGTGGCCAGAAGCTGGGAGGCCGGCAAGCACCGGCTTCGTCCCTTCGGTTTTGGGCCAGGAACGGTCCCACCGACACCTCGATCTTGGCTTTCTGGCCCCAGGACCAGACAGAACATTCTTGTGTTGTTCTCGGCCGCCTGTCTGCGGGACTTGCTACAGACGCCCCAGGAAGCTCAAGCAGGGCAGCTGCCTGATGCAGAGTGGGCGGGGGGCTGAGCGACCCAGGCCAGCATCAAGCTGCCGGTGCCCTGCCCAGAGGCTAAGACAGAACTTGCAGCACATCCTTCAGGCTTGGGCAGGGTGCTGGCCACCTGGGGGGCCCACCTCCCCTCCCCCCATGAGCGCTGCACCTGTCCCACACCAGGCCTCGGAAGGTCTCCTTACCGCTAGCGCTTCTTCTTGACTGTGGATCTTTCTGCCACTGAGTAACCTGGAAGACGGGGGAGGCACGGGTGAGCCCTTGCTCCTCTGGGGCCTGCTGGAATCATCCCCAGAGCTCCGGCGAGCCCCCCATCCCCACAGGAACCCACTCAGTGTCTGCTGGCCCCGCGATGCACCCAAGGGCCAGTCGGGGGTAAAATTTAACAGCGGCAAGGGACAGCAAGACACAGCCCCACTCAGTGGCCACAGAAGGTGTCAGAGCTCCAGGTGGCCGCCTGCGTCAGGTGGCGTGGGACCCCCCTCCCACAGCTGGTGTCACCCACCTGTGCCCTAAGCTCCTCCCCTTTCCGTCCCCGAAGGCCCATGCTGCCCAGGAGGACGGCCGGGGGTCATCACGGGCACAGGGGTCAGGGGGAAATAACACCCGCCATCGTCGTTGGGCCAGAGCATCGGGCCAGCCCCCCCACCTGAAGCAGTACCTTGGGAGGGGGGTCTGACCGGCGCTGGAACAGCCCTCCCCAGGGGGGTGGGGGGCGTCTGAAACCTTCCGTGCTTTCGAATTACTTACTCAGCCTCGAATTGGTTGGGGGTTATGATGTCTGCCACCGGCACAACCTTCTCTCTGTAGACTGGAAGGAGGTCCTCCGGAACGTACTAGAGGGCGACAGGGCACAGGCTGACGCGCACGGCGGAGGGAAGGAGACCCGAGAGCTTGCTCAGAGCGGCGCGGTCCAGGCTCGGGGCCCAGAGCCCCGCCGCAGGCACGAGACGCTGCGCCCTGCGGCTGGGCCTGCGCGGGCTCGCCTGGGGACTCCGGGGTGCTGGAGGCCGGCTCCTTCACCCCACAGGGAGTTCTTTCTCAACCTATGAGCTCAGAAACGGCTCCCAACACCGGGGTCCCAGGGCAGGGTCCCAGGCGCCCTCCATGCCCCACCTGCCAAGCTCCCCTGCTGGCCCCGGGGGGACTCCCACCAGCAGACTGACCACCCGCCCTGCACCACGTCAGGGGCAGAAAGCTACGGCCTGTCTGCTCTGACACGGTTACGGGGGAAAAGGAAAGACAAGCAACATTCGGGACACATGGAGACTACAGGAAATTCAGACTTCAGCGTCTGTGGGGAAGTTTATTAGAAGGCGGCCGTGCCTGTTTGCAGCTATTTATTTTCCTTAAAGACTTTATTTTTAAGTAAGCTCTACACCCCGTGTGAGCCTTGAACCCACAACCCCAAGGTCAAGAGTCACAGGCTCCACCGACCGAGCTAGCGGGGGCTGCTTTGTGACGAAGAGGGACGTGCGTCCCCAAACGTCCGCTCTCAGGCCCTTTACAGAAAAGCTCGTCCGCCGACCCGCTTCCAGGCTGGCGTCCACCCCAGGGCAGGCGTGTGGGCGGTCAGTGCCCCGCGTCAGGACCAGCGCGCACGAGGTCACTAACCATAGAGCCCTCGCCGTTCCACTTGTCCCCCATCACCGGGTCGCATACTGTGGGACACAAAGGGCGTCTGTTAGCAAAAGTCACGCCTCCCAAGAGGAGAGAGCTTACCGCTGACCTCCGTTACACTCCGCGTGTGTGGCCGATCGCTCGGGGAAAGCACGGCCTCTACCTTCCCTCGCCGGTTACCCGCGCCCCACGCTGTGGTCCGAGACTGACTGCTCTGCTTGACTCCCTATCTGACCATCGTTAGCGCCTTTCTCGAGAGCGTGGCTGGAACAGTGGCCCCATTCCCTCCCGCCACCACACCGGCACGTTCCCTTCGTGTGGCGGTCCGCGGCATGCGCAAAGCCACATGTCGTGCGGGACCTGCAGTGAGGCCGGCGGAGGCCGGGGACCGGCGTGGCTGCCTGGGAGACGCCCCTCAGGGAAGGCCCCCGTCTGCGCGGCGGAGGCAGCAAGAACGCACCAGGGCCGCTGGGGCCCCAAGCCCGCTAGCGTTCGCAGTGGTGGGACCCACACGGCAGGACACCGGGGCTCCCACCTGGATGCAGGGAGGGTCACGTGTGGCCCTGCAGAGGCCTGCACGTGCGCATGAGTCCGGGGGGGGTGGCGACCACAGTGTCCCATGAGTCTTGCCTGGCGGGGCCTCTGCTCGCGGGACACCCTGAGAGCTGGCGCTGCAGCCCCGGGGGGCAGGACAGACGGGCCTTGCGTGCGCCTCAGCTCTGCTCCGGGCGGGTGTCCACCCTGGCCCCACCCTGACCCCTCCCTGGCCAGGCCCCACCCGGGACATCCATGTCCACCCTCTCCGGGGTCAAGGGTGGCCACACGGGCACGCTGACGACAGCAGGTATATAACCTGTTCCTCTGCCAGGGTCACCGTGAGGCCATTCTGATCCCTGCCCAGAGCTCTGCGGCTTCCAGGACCAGGGGAGGCGGGCCGTGAAGGAGGGGCGTCCAGGAGGAAGGAGGCCAAGCCCCCCGTCCCCGGGCCCCCGGCCAACCCCACCGGAGAAGGCGGCGGCCCAGCAGGCACGCAGCAGAACCCGGCGCCTACCGTACACCAGCCTGGAGTTCTGCTGCTTCAGCTCCCGCACGATGTCCACCACGGAGGCCAGGAAGGACTTGTCCCTCGTGTAACCTGTGGCAGGGAGATGCAGCCACCTTGTCGGAAGGCTCCCACCCAGACCGCGGCCCAGGGAAAAAAAGCACCATCAACGCCCCCTGCTGCAGGGCCGCCGGGGGGCTAAGTGTCTCACCCCCGAGCTCAGCTCAGGCCGTGATCCTGCTGTCGTGCGATCAAGCCCCGCCTCGGGCTCTGCACTGAGCAGAGAGCCTGCTTGGGATTGACTCTTTCTTTCTGCCCCTCCCTTGCCCACGAGCAAGCGCATGCTCTCTCTCAAAATAAATAAACTTAAAAAACAAAAAACAAAAACAACATCCACAGTCCCTGAGGGACACTGGGCGTTTCCCAAAGCGTCATTTTATTTTATTTTTTTTTAGAGTATTTTGTTGTTGTTGTTGTTAAAAGAGTGCATACACACATGAGTGGAGGTGGGGGCAGAGACAGAGAATCCCACGCTCGGCATGGAGCTCTTCATGGGGGTCTCAGTCCCCCCAACTGTAAGATCAAGACCTGAGCCGAAATTAAGAGTCAGATGCTCAACCAACTGAGCCAGCCAGGCGCCCCGTCAAGTTTTGAACGAATGGAAGAAGCCGTGAGTGATAGGTGTACAAAGAATATTTTCTTTTGTCTTTCCCATTTTCTTTAAAAAGTTTTTTTTAATGCTTAGATATTTTTGAGAGAGACACAGTACAAGCAGGGGAAGAGCAGAGAGGGAGGGAGACACAGAATCCGAAGCAGCTCCAGGCTCCGAGCTGTCAGCACAGAGCCCGACATGGGGCTTGAACCCACGAACCGTGAGACCGTGACCTGAGCCAAAGTCGGAAGCTCAACCAACTGAGCCCCCAGGCGCCCCATTTCCATTGTCAATAACAAGTCCGTTTACTTCTAACTACATATACAAATACAAATAGATACTTTTCCCATTAAGTTGACTAATGAACTGATGCAGCACGTTGCCAGGGTGTTTTCACTCTCAAGCCCCTGCGTGTCCCCCAACCCCACACAGGTCCCAGAACCCCGATGTGGCCTGTCTGAGAGCAGCATGGGGCCAGGACACCCCAGGTCACGCTAGCAGGGCGCGGCCGTTACTAGGGCGCCACCGAATTCTTGGCAGCACAGCCCTTCCCTCCTAGAAGGAGGCAGGGCCCAGGGTGGGGGTCCCTCCCCATGCCCACCCCCCGCGGGAGCGAGGCACCCAGCTGCCCGGACACTCACCCGTGAGCACGTAGTCATACTTATTCACGCTGTTCAGCTTCAGGCCTTCGTACAGCTCCTGGAGTTCATCTGAGTTCAGCACTTGGCCTTTCCAGTGCGGGTAGCCTGGGGGAGGGCAGGGTGGCCGGAGCCTTAACACCAGGGCACGCGTGTGAAACACAGCCCCCCCCCCCCCACGGCCCACTGCGGCCCGGACGCTCGCTCCCTCGCCCTCGACGGCGCCGTGCTTCGGTGGGCCCTCCGACACCGTCTGCCTCAAAGCCCCCTGCAGACACCGCCGCCTCCCGTGCCACCACTGGCCGCGGGGCCCCTCCCACCGCCGGTCCCCTGGGAGTCAGCCCAGCGCAGCGAGGCCGGTCGGCCCTGCACACCGGCCCGCACGCCCGCATCGCGAGGATGCAGAGCTGTGCACCTTCTCCCCGGGGAGACCCCGTCCCAGGTCACGGTGGGTGGCCCCTCCAGCCTCCCCTGTTGAGGAGGGCCCCCCTCAAGGGGGCCCATCCCCCCCTCCAGGCCGAGCGGCCCCATCGCTGCTCCCTGGGCACCTGATCGGCAGGCCGCGTCACATCCTGCCAACTCGGCCCCATGAGACGGAGGCCGCCAGGCCACCAAGGGCAGCCTCAGGTCAAGGTGGGGCAGAGAGCCAAACGCGAATTAGGGGCAGGCTCTGCCCCGGGTTTTCGGCTCCTGCAGGCACCCCGGCTGAAGTGCTTGCTCTGGGCACGTGGGCACGCAGACTGCAGGCCTCCTAAGGGACCGTCCCGCCACGGAGGACGAGCCCTGCCCGCGCGGGCCGGGGCCGGGGCCCCACCGGCACACCCTCGTCCTGGTGGCCCCGGAGTGTGCGCCTGGTGCCCGGCTTCTCCCCGCGCCTTTTCCCTGGGCCTCAGTAGCTCTCCGTGCCGAGTCCTGGGAGGGCCCCCGGGGAACTGGCACATCCGGGGGTGGTCCTGGGGCCCCTGCTACTCCTGAGCCATCCTTGAGCCCTAGGAATGACCCCCTGACCCCCTGATGTCCCAAGGCCTCCATCCCACAAAGCACACCCACCTTCTGTGATTCACCTCATGCTTCCTATGCCCCGTGGGGCCTCTGACATTAGCAGCAGCCACAGCCCTGGGGGCTCGTCTGGAACGCAGATTCTCAGGCCCAGGCCCAGCTGGTGAGTGTTTGGGGGCGGGCCAGGCACTCACTATCAGCAAGGCCCCAGGAGCTTCCTATCTACACACGAACCCGAGAGGCACAGACCTGGAGCAGGGGGTCCACAGACGAGGGCCCGTGGCCGTGTCTGGCCCACCGCACACATCAGCACAGTTTTTTGCATGTTTTTGCATGTTTAAGTGGTTAGGGCAAAAAGAGCAGACTTGTGAGCCGCATAGGGCCACCCCTTGGCCCGCGGCCCCTCGCTGCTCTCACGCTGCGAGGGCACGGAAGCTGCAAAGCCTCCGTTATTCACCATCTGGCTGGTAACAGGGCAAGGGATGCGAGTCCTGCTCACCCAGGACGGAGGCTCTGTGGCCTCGACCTGAAGAGTCAGCTCTGAGTCGAGCCATAACGAGCTCTGTTAAAGGGAAACGGGCCTGAAATGGGGTGTCTCACACTAGGGCCCCAAGTCAGTGAGCAAGACCTGATACTGAACCTGACTGCAGTTTCCACCCTGGAGCGGAGCCTTTAGCCGGTCAACGTGGAATCTCCTGGTCACTACTGGGAAGCTGACCGGCAGACCCGTTCCGGTCCCCTCAGACGGACAACCTTGCCTGAACCCAAAGCATCCCCTGCTAAATCCCTTTCTTCTTTTATTAATGCTCCCTCTGTCTTTAAAACCCTTTTTTCCCTTCAGCTCAGCGGAGCCCCCTCCACTTTCAAGATGGGATGCCACCTGATTCATGAGTCATTTAACAAAACCAGTTAGGTCTTCCAGTTTACTCGGCTGAACTCCGGTTTTTAACAGATCCCGCATCACACCCACCAGGATGGCTAGACACGTGCCGATGAGCACGGAAGAAGGGGGGGCCCTTCTGCCCGTGGGCAGGGACAAGACGGCACAGCCACCGTGGAAACCAGGCTGGCAGCCGTTCACATGGTCAGGGTTACTCTCAGATCGAGCAGTTGTGCCTCTGGGTGCATCTGTCTGGGGAGACGGGAGAAGTGGTCCCAGAAACACGTGCAAACGGCTGCTCAAGGCCGCAATCTCTGTGACAGCCACGACTCACAAACCGTGTCCGTCAACAAAGGGATGCACGAGACGCGGTGCATCCATACGGCGGGCAGCGCCCTCCAGCCTCAGAAGGCGCGGAGCGCTGGCACCGGCTGCCACACGGATGAGCCCAGAGAACACGGCGCTCAGAGAGAAGCCAGTCGCTGGCGGTCACCTGTCCCAGGATTCTGCGTGGAGGAAGCCTCCAAGGCGGACACAGCCACAGACGGAAGAAAGAGGGATAGCGGTCAGCGGCTGGGAGGAGGGTCAGGGGTGAGGGACAGGCGGGTACTCGTACGGCTCGCGCTGGAGCAGTGAAAACCCCAGGGAGTGCACTTGAAACCACTGAGTGATACGCTCAAACAGGTGACTTAATTCTACAGCACATAAATATCGGAGTAGGGTCGTTATTAACAAAAGGAGAACTTTCCAGGGGCACCTGGGTAGCTCAGTCGGTTAAGTGTCCAATGATTTTGATTTTGATTTTGGCTCAGGTCACGATCCCAGGGTAGATGGGATCAAGCTGTGCACTGGGCTCCGAGGTGAAGGTGGAGCCTGCGTGGGATTCTCTCTCTGCCCCTCCCCCACTCACTCACATGCTCTCGCTAAAAAAAAAAAAAAAAAAAACACACAAAAAAAACCCACTTCAAAAAGAAGTAAAAACAAAAAACACCCCAAGTACTTCTGGGTGCAAAGCCCAGGACTGAACCCATGAGATTCCAATCAGGCTGCACAAACGGCCCCAGGGGGGTCCCCTCCCCTCCCCTCACGCATCTGGAGGTGCGGCGGGGGCCCTTCCAGGAGCCCCAGGGTGAAGCCCGCATCCCTCTCCTGGCCCCGACCGCGCCCGCAGCAGCGGGGGCTCCAAGCACTCTGGGGTCGGGCCTCCACGCGCCCCTCGCAGGCTTGGACCCCTCAGGACGGCCAGTCCCCCGGCACCTGAAGACCTTTACGGGAGCCCCGAAAGCGGCCACCGGCCGCTTCGGCCCCAGAACCCCCTCCCCTCAGCCGGGGTCTGGGCCAAGGGCAGTAGCAGCTTCTGAGCCAGGTGTGAGGCTGAACGCACGCTGCGCATGTCCCAACGCCAGGTGCAGCGAGGAACTGAATTCCAGCGTGCGGCGTCCAAGTCAGCTTGGCTCCTTGACTTAGACAAACAGAAAGGAAGGTGGTTAAAACGGCCAATAAAGCACGTGGGATCCAGGGAAGTTCACGGAGTCCACTGAGGCGTCTCCAAACCACAGGAGCGTGGACACTGGGCAAAGCAAAACCAGGCACGGGCTGTCAGTGCGGACCGCAGGCTTCTCTTCCAGATCCCGAACACCATTCCTCCCTTGATTTATGACTCATGAAACCCCATCCCTTCCAAGAAAAACCATGCCAGAACTACAGGCGATCTTCCCTCAGGGCGCGGGCGGAGCTGCAGGCGCCGCCCGCGCTCCCTGCCGGCTCGCTGCCGGGTGCTTCTGGGACATTCTGTACTCCGCAGCTTCCGTCCGGGTTCAGGGTAACTTCAGAAGAGTTGACGGTGGGATGTTTCCAGGAAGCGAGTGGCCTCGTTTGCCGGCTGCTCCGGCACCGTGGGGTCACAGGGCAGGGCCCCCCGCCAGGGCCGTGGAGCAGGGGGCTGTGGGGAGCCGGCTCGGGAAGCCTTTCTGAGGGCCGTGACCCTCCCGTGCCTTTGCATTGGCGATTCTGCTTCAAGGCCTCCGTACAGAAGTCCTTGGGGTCCCCTTTGTGCTGACACGGAGGGCACGGGGGCTCCCGAGGCGCGGGTTTGTAACGGAGAAAATCAGGATCCGCCTACGTGTCCACGAGCAGCTTGCACACACGGGGCTGTGCTCACGGCCCTCGGTGTCCCGCCACTCAGAAGACGGCACAGCTAGGATCCCATCCTCGTTTCAGGGGAGACCCAGGGGCTGAGAGGCTACACCAACCCGGCCCGGGTCCCAGCTTCCCGCAGCCGGGCTGCGTTCTAACGGTGTCCACACCAGGACCCTCCAACCCTCCGGCTCCAGCTCATCAGATGAGGGGTGGGGCCCCCAGATTTCTCGAGGCCACGTCGCGTGCCCGCACCCTGCTCTGCGGCAACCACGGAGGCCAACGCCTTACCTGTGTGGTTTGAAAACTGGACGGAGTTCAACGCGTCAATCTCAAATCCCAAAACCTGCAAGACAGAGAAGGACCAGGTGTGAGAGAGCCGGGACCCCAGGGGCGGCCGGGGGCGCCCCTCGAGTGGGGCTAACACCCCCACTTCGGTGCCGTGCGCGTCTGGTGGGGGCTTCGTCTGGAAGCATGTGGCCGCGAGCAGCCCGGAGACCCGCGCCTCTGAGCCGCTGCCCTCCCCCACCCCCACCGCAGGAACTCCCTTCTGGAAATCCTGCCAAGCAAAAATGCTTGAAAGTGCAAGACAGCGAGGCGTCCGTCTGTTCAGACGCTGAAAGAGAGCTGTGAGGCCGTCTTTGTCTCCCAGACGAGGTTTGACGCCCCAGCCCCTCTGGGGAGGGAAGGCCAAGGGGCTCCCCCCTGGACGGCACAGCCGGCTGGCCCTTCCCCAGCAGCATCAGCCCCTACCCACTGGCTGCAAGGGGGCACCCGGCCTGGGCCCGTGTGGCCCCTGGGGGTGCAGCACAGAAAGCAGGTGACCGCAGACGAGTTCCAGGTGCCACCGAGTCAGGGGCCACGTTTATAAAGAACAGGAGCTCCTCTCTCAACGAAGGGGAAGAAAACTTATATCCAAAATAGTGCAGGGGCGCCTGGGTGGCTCAGTTGGTTAAGTGTCGGACTCTTGATTTTGGTTCATGATCTCACTGTTCATGGGACGGAGCACCGAGTCAGGCTCTGTGCGGACAGCGCAGAGCCTGTTGGGAATCTCTCTCCCCGTCTCTCTCCCCCCTGTACCCACTCATTCGCTCACTCTTCCAAAATAAATAAACATTAAAAAGAAATTACAAATGAAATCAAACAGCCCACACGTCTACACAAGCCAGCGCGGACAGCTGTTTGCCTGTGGGCTGGCAAATCCCAGGCCGACCTTTCCTTCGGCTCAGTTTTCCCGTTTTCCCACGTGTAACAGGCAGGTGCGATGCACGCGGGCAACAGAACACTGCAGAGCCCTCCGGGCCATGGGCCACATTCTCATGTGCCGTGGCACACGGTGGGCCAGTCACTGCTGCCCTCTGTGATGGCCAGCCTCCAGGGGGGCCTGACCCCGTGACCCCGTTCTTTGACACATGTGGGGACAGGGCATGACCCCTTGGGTATCTGTTGATGGGACGCACCCACCCCGTTTGTCCCGGTGTCTGTCCCGCCGGTGCCCTGCTCCAGACCCCAGGCCCGGCCCCCAGCCACCCCAGTAGGCGTGCGTCTTCCCTCCGTCCCCCCACCCCCCCCCCGCCAGGTCTCAGTTCACATCCTTAGCTGAGGCCATCTGCGGACCCCAGCCACACGAGCCACACACACGCAGTGGGACGCCAGGAGGCACCTGCAGAAGTGCCAAGACCGCGGGGTGCCTGGGGCGGGGGGCGGGGTGCCTGGAGCGGGTGTGGTGCCAGGGCAGGCAGGCTACTAGCACTCGACAGACCGCAGCACGTCTGGCTCCCCGAGTCCCACTGACCTCTGGACCCTCCCCCTCCGCAGCCCCAGGAAAATGAGAAGGAACAAAGGTGCTTTTTATGACCCTGGCCCACAAGGACGGAAGGGGGGCCAGTGGGTGAGACACTCCGACAAACTCTGGGGACAGAGAAACAGATCCTCCGCGGGGCACGGGGACACTAGAACTCAGTTCCCGCGGAGGGGCCGGGCCAGCGCCCTGTGGAATGTGGCGGAGGAGGACACAGTGGGAGGGATGGGGGCATGGAAGGGGAGGGGCGGTGGGCGGGTGAGGGAGACAGAGGGCAGGGACCGAGGGCGATGAGCGCTCCGGGGACTCCCCAGCCTCCCCCTACTCACCCGAACACCACTGACCACCCGCAAGTCCCCCCTGCACGCTCCGAGACAGGCAGAGGTACGTGTGGCGGTCAGGGGTGGCTGCCTCCAGCAGCTGGGGGCGGGGGTGGGCACTCCCACACTGGCCGTGGCCCACGGATGGGCTCCCCACTGTGGTTCACTGTGCTATACACACTCACGACTGGCATCTGACAAGTCTCTCCAGAATCATTAAGTGGGTGTTATCCAAACTTCGAGAAATAAAATAAAAATCGCCAGTGTTATTAAACCAAACTGTGAAAACGGGCCCTTGCAAATCTGCCTGCCAGATGCACGGCCTCCTCTTCCCAGATTCCACTTGCGAGGCCTCAAGTCCCTTAGAATTCTAATCAAGGCTAAAGAAACAGATTTGAAGCGACCATGACACAAATCTGGAAAACAGTGCCAAAATATCGCACTCCATTGCCTCTGGATGTATAGATAATTAGTCCTTTGAAGCTGGCAAACCGATCCGAGGATGAAGTCTCTATTTCGTGCTCCTGAATGAGGGCCAGCTCGGCAGCGGGCCGCCCGCCTTCCAAGCCAGCAGCCGACGTGGCTGATTTCTCAGTGCACGTGCTGTGCGCAGGGCATGCACGGCCACAGGCGCTCCACTGCGCAGGTGCGGCCCACCCCCCAGCCAGGGGGCACTGAGGAGGCTCTGCGCTAACGCCCTCCATGCCCCCCTCCTGGGGCGCAGAGCCCCTGCCCCCACGCCCCCTAGGCACCCAGTACCCCTCCCAGCTACCTGCTGAGGCAGGTGCCCTGGGGGCCCTGCAGGTGCCTCCTTAGGGCGCAGCTCCGACCCGCGCTTTCCCTGCTTGCACACCAACCTTGCCTAAGACAAAACAGCAGCAGAAGGCGGGTGCACCCCCTGCTCCCCAGAAGTTCACGCTGCTCTGCTCTGCGAGGACCTGCATTAGTACAGTGATGGTCTCCATCAGCCCAAACAGGCACGAACGAAAGTCTTGCGTGAAAGTGGCTGGTGTGAACTTCCGGAAAGCGGGGGACAAGGGTACCTGGGTAATACCTAACGAACTCTTTGTGGAAATAACTGCTCTGGTCCCCATTTCTGGACCGGACCCGGCGGGACCATCTCGCCTCGCCCCCCTCCGCCCAAGGGAGCCGGACACAGACCGATCCTCGGTCCAGGACCCTGTAGAGCGTCCCGGACACACGTCGTGGGCAGCCGGGTTCCTCCCAACCAGGCTCACCTCCCGCTCGGTGTGCGGCACACGCACGTCCACATTCCCGGCCCTTCACAGGCTGCGCACAAGTCACGTTCCGTGGGAAAGGACCCTTGTGCCGCGCGGACACGAGCCCACATGGGGCTAACTTCCAGGGCAGTCCTGGCGGTCTGGCTCTTCCCCTGGGTGGCGGTCCTCTGGTTCCGCGGTGAACCCCGGAGCCCTCGCTCACCCCGCACAACCGCACCCGAGTGTCGGAGGCTCCCGGGAGGGGGTGGCTCTCCCACGATGACCGTCTGTGGCCCAAGGGACACTTCCCAGCTGAGTCCACTCGTTACAGGCGTGCGTGCGTTAGAAGCAGGTGTCTGGGCTGAGCCGCGGAAGGGAGGGCCACGCTCCGCGAGGGAGGACTCGGCGCGTGCCGTGCGGGACTGATTCACAAGGAGCCGTTGACGCGGTTACTGAACTCGCTTACGCGTGGAAAACGAGTCCACCGGCTAGCCTGTCCTCACCCCCCCGTGACGCCCCTACATCTCACTGCCAGCGACGGCTCTGGCGAAATCCCACACAATGGAGGCCGTGGTGCGTGCCGCTTCTGCCCACGCTGCGAGTGTGCAGTCACCACGGAAACGGGCGCACACACAGGACTCGGCCTCCCCCACACCTGGGTTGCCTTTTAAACGTCTACCAGCACAGCCGCAGCACACGGTGAAAGATGCAGAAGGCGCTTTAAGAAGAAGGAGAGGGAGGGAAGACGTTCAGCCCGGGGAGGGCGGCTGAAGAAGGGCCTCGGCGCAGAAGGGGCGCCACCAGCTACACCCACTCTCACTGCCACACGCGGGGGCAGGGCCCCTCCCCCAGTCCCGCCGGGGTGGCCACCCGCCTCCATGGACCCTCCATCTCTGTGCGGGCGTGTTCGGCGGTCCTCACCCCCACCCCCAGATGGACCCGTGAAACCCCACCCCACAGGGGCCTGCCCCTGCCCACGGAATGAGCTCGGGACCCCCAGGCTGTGCGTCCCACCACTCCACCAATTCCACGCTGCGGCCACAGAGCTACTGGTCACTTTCTGAACCCCCCCAAAATCTCTGAAACCTCTATGCTTGTGAGCAGCTGTCCTGAGTGCAGACTATCGAGACCTTGCTGAGAACCTTGTCTTCTTGGCCTCTGCTGCAGCACCGGGACTCGGTGGGGTTTCGGGGCCCTGGGAACCCCCCGCCAACCGCGAGCCCCTAGGACGCGCCCACCACCCCCTGCACCCTGAACGAAGGCTGGCGCGGCCCAAGCCCCGGCCCCGGGGTCCACTGGCAAATGCGCTCCCATTTCAGAGAAAGCCGGGAGCCTTGGCCAAGGAGTCCCACGACAGAGCGCACCCCTCCCTCTGCCCAGCGAGCCCCTGCGCGTCCACGCGGCTGCCAAGGAAAACCGGCTGCTCCACGGCCACGGAAGCACAACAAGCCAAGGGGGCAACAAGGGTGCCGGGTTCCAGGGACCCACGGGCTCGCAGCCCAAACCACAGGCTCTCCTGACAGGTCCCAGCGCTGGACACGCAGCCGGTGGGAGCAGCCCCTCGACCCGCCAGCGGATGGGGGTGCAGACGTGCACAGGGCGTGCAGGAAGCACCCCACCACGTTCCCTGCCGGGAGGAAGAGCCGGGGCGGGAGAGGCCGCTTGGAAATGGCTCCAGCTTCTCAGGCCTCTGGGTGGGCTCGGCGTGCGGGGTGGGGGAGGGGTGGTGCACAGGACAGCTGCGGGGACTGTGGGGGAGGGGGCCTTCAAACGCCCGGTCCAGCTGTCCGGCCAAGAGCGAGTGACGACGGCGGGGACGCTGGCACGTACTCCAGCTCGGTGGTCCGACCCCCACGGCTGCCGTCTTCCGCCCCACGTAGACCTGTGGCCTTTCCCGATGGAGGGAGGAGGGGCCTTGGGCGGGTGACGCATGCATGGCATGTTCTCCGAGGCCAGATCCCCCTCACTGATGCAATCATCAACCCACTCTGCTGACAGCCAGCAA